AAAAAAAAAGGCAAAATAAAACAGCATGAGAAAAGGATTTATGTCCAAATAAAAGAAGGAAAAAAGAGGAAAGGCACTCGAGCATGTTAACAGGTGACAGCTGGAGAGGGGAGAGCTGCAAAGACAGAAGGAGAAAACCAAATCTCCCCACCACCACAAACAGGAATAATAATACTTTAGTTTAGATTATATAGGTATAATTTTTTGAATACTCAAATGGAGTTTGCAATCAGGAAATAAAAGCTATTATTTTCTCTCAAGAGTTTTCAAAACCCTTGACACAGTAATTTTGTGTCTAATCACCTGAATATGGGAATAATCTGAAATAAGGAAAAAGCTTTGCACAAAGAAATTATTCAAAGTATTGTTTATATTAGTAAAACAGGGTCCAATATTAAAGAAATAATTACGTATATCACAGCCTATCCACTTAATGATATATTTATCAATGGCTAAAATGATATTTACAAAGCATTTATAACAACCTGAGAAATGTTTATATTAGTGCCAAAAGCCAGGCCACAGAAAATAGTATTAATACTGAGTATTAAAAATGCATACTAAAAAAACCTGGAAATTATCAGAATGTTAATAGTCATTATTTCTGAATAGTAGAATGAAGAATGAGTATTAATTATTTCCAATTACTTTTCTATATATTATAATACTTCTGACTGAGAAAAAATTTTATGGGTAAAATGTCTGGGATAAATGTAAATAAACACCTTTGCATCAGTATTCAGCAGATTCATTATTCCAAAATAATAACTAAGATTGTGACATACTCAACAAAAGATAATGTAAGAACAAAAAGAATTATAAGTGAATACTTTGAACAAGTATATGCTAATAAATTAGATAACTTAGATAAGGTGGACAGATTCTTAGTAAGACACAAGCTAGTGGAAATGACTCAAGAAGAAATAGAAAATCTGAACAAAGAACTCACACGGCTCAACAAAAATAAACAATCCAGTCAAAAAATGGGCAGAACTCAAGACATTTCTCCAAAGAGGAAATGCAAATGGCCAACAGGCATATGAAAAAATGTTCAACATCCCTTCTCATCAGGGAAATGCAAATCAAAACCACATTGAGATACCACCCTACACCAGTAAGAATGGCACATATCAAAAAAACAAGCAGCAACAAATGTTGGTGAGGATGCGGTGAAAAAGGAACTCTCCTACATTGCTGGTGGGAGGAGTGCAAACTGGTCCAACCACTGTGGAAGCTGTCTGGAGGTTCCTCAATCTACTAAAAATGGAGCTACCATACGATCGGACAATTCCACTCCTAGGGATCTACCCAAAGGACACAAAAACAGTGATTCAAAAGAGCACCTGTACCCCTATGTTTATGGCAGCACTATTTACAATAGGCAAAACCTGGAAACAACCCAGATGCCCAAAAATAGATGACTGGACCAAGAAGATGTGGTATATATACACAATGGAATATTATTCAGCAATCAAAAAAGATAAAACTCATGCCATTCACAGCAACGTGGATGGAGCTAGAAGGGATTATGCTCAGTGAAATAAGCCAGAAGGAAAAAGAAAAATATCGGATGATTTCACTTATAACAGGAATATAGGGGAACCAAATAAAACATCAGTGTAAAAAAAATAATAATAACAGTACAAACACAACAAAGCAAAAACAGACAATTATAAACCAGAGACATCCTGCAGGGGAGGAGGAGGGAGAGGGATCAGAGGGAGGGAGGGAGGAGCACAGGGGACTGTGGTGATGGTGCACAGGTGCCTTGGGGAAGGAAATTCTATGGGGACTCAATCTGAGGGGGCGGGGAGAAGTACATATTGTCTAAAAAAATGTAAAAAAAGGATAAATGTTGAAATAAAAAAATTGAAAATAAAAAAAAAATCTGAACAGGCCTATAAGAAGTAAAAAAACAGAATAATAAAATAAAACATCCATAAAGAAAAGTCAATACACAGATAGCATCACTGATGATGCTACCAAGCATTTAAAGGAGAATTAAATCCAATTCTTCACCAACACTTATAAAAACATAGAGGAGAGGGAACTCATTATGAGGTCACTATTACTCTGATATCAAAATGAGACAAAGACTCTAGTGAATCCTCTAAACCCCTGCATCTCTGGCCTGTGCCCAAGCTCTTATATGCATAAATAAATAAATCTTTTTTAAAAATGAGACAAAGATATCACAAGAAGACTAATATCTCTTATGAATGTATATGCAAAAATCCTAAACAAACTACTAGCAAAGTGAATCTGGCAACATATTAAAAAGATTATATACCATACCATGATGGGGAATATAAAGTTGGTTTAACATCTGAAATTCAATGAATATACACCATATCATAAAGAACAAAACTACATGATTACGTCTGTGTAAGCAGATAAAGCACTTGGCCAAATTAAACACTACTTCTTAATTTAAAAAAAAATCAATAAATTAGGAAGTTTCCCAAGATATATGCTAATATGGACCCAGCAATTCTGAGTGTGGGCAATAAAGTTGTACTTTAACTTTTATGTACTTTAACTTTATAACAAGTGCACATACACTCATGTTCATAGCAGCACTGTTCACAGTACCCAAAAAGGTGGAAAATGTCCCAAATATCCATCAAAGAATGCATGGATAAACAGAATGTGGTATATATACAATGGATTAATATTCAGCCATTAAAAGGAATAAGGTACTGATACATACTACAACATTGATGAAACTTGAAAACATCTGAGTAAGTGAAAACTAGATAGCCTGGCAACTACCAACCATTATTCTATTTCTATGAATTTATCTGTTCTAGATATTTCAGGTAAATGAAATCATATACAGTGTGATCATTCATGTCTAGTTTTCACTTACTCAAATGTTTCCAAGGTTCACAAACATTATGCTAAGTAAAACACACTCAGACACAAAGGGTCTCATACTGTCTGACCAAATTTATAAGAATTGTCCAGCATATTGGAAGGGATCATGCTCAGCGAAATAAGCCAAAAAGAAAAAGAAAAATACCGGATGGTCTCACTCATAGCAGGAATCTAGAAAACTTAAATAAGGGATCAGGAAAATGAATAACTATAAGAAAGTGAAAATCAAAATCAACAAAAAACTATGAACCAGAGACACTTTTTGGGGGGTGGGGGCCGGGAGGGGAGGGATTGGGGTCAGAATGGGGCATGTGCAGTTGTATGGGGGAATATAAAAATGAAATTTATTATTTAATAAAAAAAAAAAAAAAGAATTGTCCAGCATAACTCGATTCTAGAGAGACAGAACTTAGATTAGTTATTGCCTAAGGCTGGAGAGGTGGGGGCCAGGAAAGGGACAGCTAATGGGTTTTTGCAGGGGGATGAAAATGTTCTAAAATTGAATTGTGGTGATGGTTACACAGCTCTGAGCATACATTAAAAAAACAACAACAATGACTTGCATACTTTAAACAGGAGAATTGTGCTATATGTGAATTAAATCTTAATAAATCTGCTATCTTAAAAAATGATCCAGGAAAACAGTTCGGCATTTCCTCAAAAAGTTAAACATAGAATTACCATATGACCTGCAATTCTACTCCTAAATATATACCCCAAAGAACTGAAAACAGGGACTCAAACAAGTGTACATACAAACATATGGCAGGAGAGGAAAATAAGGAGAAAGTGCTTACTTTGGAGTCATGGGAATGTTTTGGAACTAGATAGAAGTGGTGGTTATGTAACATTGTGAACGGTGCCAAATGCAACTGAATTGCTCCCTTCAAAATAGCTAATTTTATGTTTTATGAATTTTGCTTCAATTAATTATTTAAAAGAAAAGGCACCCCAAAATTTGAAATTAATATTTCCATTTACATGCAACATTTTAAAAGTTAAAAAACATTTCAAAAAAAGAGAATTTACTTTTACAAGTTGGGGCTGGCCTTTTTTTTTTTCTTTTTAAACCTAAGAAATGTGACTAAATTTAATGAATTCACTCTCTTATAATACATTACTACTATGGTATGAGTCCAGTTGGAGCTTTCAAAAGATTTATGTCATGATGAGCTTATAGACTGGAAAGAATTAGTGCATCTCTTATATCCCTGCTGTCAGAGATTACTAACTCACCAGCACAAATCACCTAGGAGGGAGAAGAGCATTTGATTCCCAGAGAAAGTATTCCACATTAAAGACTTCACCTAAAGTCTGAATAAACTTTGAAAAGCCAAGATGGGGAATAAAAATTTGGGAAACTATAACCTGGATAACAAAGAAATGAAGTTTAAGGGCAAATTATTCACATAATGTCCCAGCTTGTTTGTTTTACTTTAATTTACTTGTGGAGACTACATCCCTTAAAAATTCAAATGAGTTTCAAGCAGATTCCAGTAGCTAAGAGAAAGAACCTCAGTACAAAATAAACAAAGGAAATATTCAGGCCTCTAATTATATAGGGATAGTTGGGGACATGTTATCTATTTAGAAACAACACACTTTTGGGAAAACCAATGATCTACCATTTCCCAAATTCTGACTGGAATATTCTAAAAACATGAGGCAACTCTCATAAAGCTCTGTGCTGATAGCTATAAAAAATAATCTTATCATTGAGATATAAAATGTAATAAAAATTCAATGATGCTACTAAATGTCACATAGCATAGATATAACTATTTATAAACATATTGAAGAAACAGGTATATATTTACAGAAGCTTCCTTGTTCCCTGCCTGAGTTTTAAATTGAGAGATTATATTGGTATATTTTCAACGGACATCAAATCAAACATAAAATATCTCCTAGATAATACTTTATGGTACATCTATAAAGTTACATCTTCCCAATGGTAGCAACCCATGGTACCCCAATATTTAACCTTCGGTGCAAGTGATAATGCTTTGTACAAAATCACAGCGGGCAGCTGGAAAACGTGTGAGTGAATGAGAAGGGGGGGGGGAGATACATTTCACTCCCCCCCTTTCATTCATGAAGACAGGCCCATTCCTAGCACTCACCTATCTCAGACTTACTGTCCTTCGTTGCAGATGAAATGTTACAGCCCATGTCTTCTAAATTTTTTGTTCTTGAATTCAATTCTTCATTCCACGACAAGAATTAAAAGGGGCCTCCCTTTATGTTGTGAAGAGCCACTCCTAGCAGATCCACTTCAGTCACAAATTCTAATGAGGAAGACACATGAGGGAGGAAAGAAAATACCATTAACAACATGTATCTAAGGGCTGCTCAGCAGGATACATTTTATGCTTCTTCTGGACTGCTGTTCATCATGGGGTGTGGAAAGTGATCAGATATAATCTAATCCTGGTTTATTTTCCAAAACACAGCACAGCAACAGAGCAGATACAGATTACTTTTCTGCTACACACAAATTACATTTTCCTCATGCTTTGGTCAAATCAAGGTCTGTAAGAATAAAGCGTTAAAAATGAAAAGAAAAACTGAAATGCACATGTGTGTAATTTCCTAACTGAAATATAGGGAATGGGATATGGAGACTCTGACATATTTAACTGCTCTGGTTTTAAATTCAAAATAATTAAATCTCTCTGGGTTTTTAAAAAGACAAGTATGAGACACATGCAACATATGTAAACAACTATGCCACAGTTCAAATCAAAGAGAATTCTTCGATAATATTTCTCAGAACCAGTCAGGTTATTACTTCTTTCAAAAAAGTAAGAGGGGCCTCTCCTGGTGACGCAGCAGTTGAGCACTGGGCTGCGAAGCTGCCCGCAGCCTCTGCAGTGCCGGTATGATCCCCGGCCACCCGGTCACTGGGCAAGGGTCCCACATGGCGCACAGACCTCTCCTGCAGCGCCTGCTGCTCCCCTCAGCAGTGTATTTCGTCGGTCTGCCTGTTATGGTCCCCATTCTAGCTCTGGTGAATTCTCTCACCCTTCCGTGCTTCTGACTGTACCCAGTGCTTGTATAAATAAATAAATCTTTAAAAAAAAAATTCCCAATGCTCACACTGCACTTCATTAAATTAAAATCTCTGGGAGTTTAAAAAATGCTAATGCCTGGGTCCCATCCTCAGAGATTCTGATGTAATTGGTATTGAGTGGGGGTTAGGCATTAAAATTTTTTAAAGCTCCCCATATGATTCTAATATCAAGCAAAATTTGAGAATCTCCAACAGGGACAGTGGTATAGCAAACCCATAATGCTAGTAATCATCTCATTTTGCTTGGGCTCCGTCCACTGGGAACAGAACTTTTGCAGAGGTCATGTCAGACTTCCAAGGCTTTGGCTTCTGGCATCCGCGCTTTCCTCATTTTTGAAAGTTGGCACTGTTTACCCCTGCCTTCTCTCCATGCTCAGAAATTTCTCAAAGGTTATCTGTAGAGCCTATGAGGACACATCTGATGGGTCCTTCATCATTCTTTGTTGTAGTTTTAATACTGGTGACCTTCTCCCAGCACTTGGATCAATGGTCTCTGACAGGTGTATCAGAAAACTTACCAGGGGAGATTATTTTTTTTTAAGATTTATGTATGTATGTATGTATGTATGTATGTATGTGTATGTATGTATGTATGTATGTATTTATTTATACGAGCACTAGGTACAGTCAGAAGCGCGGGAGGGTGAGAGAATTCACCAGAGCCAGAGCTGGTACAGAACAGGCAGACTGACAAAACACACTGCTGAGGGGAGCAGCGGGCAGCAGGAGAGGTCTGCGCGCCATGTGGGACCCTCCTCCAGTGGCCGGGGAGCAGCCAGGGATCGAACCAGCGCTACAGAGGCTGTGGCCAGCTTCACAACCCAGCGCTCAACCGCTGCACCACCGGGGAGGCCCGGGAGATTATTTTTTAAAAAGCAACTCCCAGGCTTTCCTGGGAGTACCTCAGTTTAAGAAACACTGCTCTCCATATCTCACCTGGGCTTCGCTTTCATTTTTATACTAGTTTTTTCTACCCCTTTGTATGACTACATAAGAGTTGAATGTTGAAAATGTAGGCAGGGGGCCTCCCCGGTGGCGCAGCGGTTGAGCGCTGGGTTGCAAAGCTGCCCGCAGCCTCTGCAGCGCCAGTTCGATCCCCGGCTGCTCCCCGGCCACTGGAGGAGGGTCCCACATGGCGCGCAGACCTCTCCTGCCGCCCGCTGTTCCCCTCAGCAGTGTGCTTCAGTCCTTCTGCCTGCTCTGCTCCCTGCTCTGGCTCTGGTGAATTCTCTCACCCTCCGCGCTTCTGACTGTACCCAGTGCTTGTATAAATAAATAAATAAATCTTTAAAAAAAAAAAAAAAAGAAAATGTAGGCAGGAAACACTGATCTAGCAATAGGAAGTGATACATTTTGATGTCAATTTTCTTTTTTCCAGAAAAAAAGAATAAAGCAATAGCTCTTCAAAGTCACACCTCAAGTAATTCATTGCACAACAAAACAAAATTCCATAGGAAAGGTCACCAGGCACTCAAAAGCATCGAGCCTGAGTATATTTCTCCAGACTATAAGCTCCTAGGTATCTTTTTTTCTAAATTGTCCTTGACTACCTGGCACCTTTTTCACATGCCAAGTGTCTGATAAATGCTAAATGAATGAATAAAGGAATGAATCTAAGCCACAGTCCTTGAAAAAGTTAATTGCTAAAAGTCATTATTCCATTATTTTGTGCACAGATACTTCATTTGATTATACAAACATCCATTTTTAAACCAGAAAATGGGTAATACTAAAACATTCTTTTTTTATATTTTATATTATATAATTCTTACATCATTTTTCATTTTTGCACAATGTATGCATTTTCATTTTGGTTATATTCCCCATACAATTGCACCCCCCCTTATTTTGACCCTAATCCTTCCTCTCCCTGCCCCCCCACCCAGTAGTGTGTCTCTGGTTTATAGTTGCTTGTTGATTTTGATTTTTACTTTGTAATACATTCATTTTTAAAGAATGAGTTTCCATAGCACACCCACCACCAAATCACCCAGAGTCTACTGTGCTCCAGAGAGCAGCAAGTTTTTAAGTGGTATATGTGCCTTTGGGGTCATCTCTAGCTGACTGTAAAACCGATAAAAACAATTTGGGAAAATACAGCTCCTTCCATTCCCTGTCCTCTGTCAGCAATAAAAAAGTCACTTAGTGTGCTAACGAAGTCTCTGAAGAAATAATCTCTGGGGCTTTAAAGGGGTTCTTGAGCGCAAAAGGTATTCACAAAGACCCAAGGGTGTGGCAGTCAGTGACCTGAACCACTAAATAGGTGGATCTTGGCAATAAGCAGCTTGAAACATGCGCAATGCTGCTTCTACCATTATGTATCAAGGATTGTTTCTAAGCATAAACATAAAATAGTGACTCATCATTGGCATGCACTTATAATCTGTAAAAGGAAAGGCCTCTTGCTGAAAGGTTCTTACTAAGTGTGCATTCCGAGGGGTGGCTAATGAGGTAAGAACTGGCGAGCAGTTCTGATGCTGTTCAGTTGTTTTCATTTTAACCACTTTTCACTTTCCCCCGTAAAAATACAAGGAAAGAACAAAAATGGACCCTGGAGTTAATCTAACCTTCTCCATCAAGTGCTAGCCCAGCATACCAAAGTTTTTCATCTTGGTTCTTTATTTTATTTCAAAGTGCATCTCTATTGAACTGCCAAACCTTGGCTCAGCCACCTTGACCTTGATTCCACCCCTGGTGATCTGGATGGGAAATGTGTTGTTTCTGATGCTAGAAACTCAGCTTTTCCTAGAGATGTTGACCTTTTTTTTTTAATATTCATTTATTTATGCATACAAGAATGGGGGTATAGGCCAGAGGTGTGGGGGTGTGAGAGGATTCACCAGAAACAGAGTGATGAGCAGAACAGTCAGAGTGACTGAAATATACTGCTGAGGGGAGAAATGGGTGAGACAGGAGAGGTCTGCTGTGTTATGAGGGTCAGCTCCCTGGCCGGGGATCCAACTCATGCTACAGTGTCTGCTGATTGCTTCATAGTGCTGAGACTTAACCCCTTGCACTACCAGGGAGGCCCTGAGATGCTGACTTTTGTGGAAGATTCCTATTCTAACTCTGAGCCTGAGGAACCCAAATCCGGAACCCACTGTGATTCAACTGGCACCATGCTCCCTCGCCCTGTGGCACCTGGTTAGGTAAATCTAATTCTTCCCCTTTGGACTGTGTAGACATGAGCATGGAGGACAGAGGAAGAGTTAGACTCACCTGCTGCATTCTCTTTGCCATTCATTGAAACAGGGATTTTATAGGCTGATGCTTGTGGTCTAAATATAACTAAGGGGCATAGAGTAGGGCAGAGAGGTACCTGGCAAACCATGCTAGAGAGGACCCCTACTTGACTATCTTTCCACCAGAACACTGTAGCATTTGAGTCTGTAGTCTTCAGTGAATGGGAGTGACTCTTCCTGGCTCATCAGATGAAACAAAAATAAACATGCAACTATAAATCAGAGATATTCTGCAGGGGAGGAGGAGGGAAAGGGATCCAAACGAGGGCGGTAAGAGCACAAGGGACTATGGTGATGGTGCACAGGTGACTTGGTGGTGGAAATTCTATGGGGACTACACCTGAGAAAAGCAAGCAAACATTGTACAAAAATGAACAATGATATGAAATATAAATAAATAATTTTTTAAAAAATCAATTAGGTTAGTCATGTAGCTTGAACTACTTTTAAGTCTAAAAGGAGTGATAAAATATAGATACCAGTTAAACAACTTAAGACTTCTTCAATTCCTTGTTTTCTTGCCTTTGAAATAATCAGGTTTGCTCACACGACTTCAGTGTGAGCAGTTCCACTTATGGCACTCCTTTTATGGAGTCAAAAATCAGGACTCTAGGAAAATGGCGTACTATTCTCACTTCTCTGTCCAGGCAGGCAATTTTAGTGCATTGTTGTGAGATGTTACCACAGAGAACACTGCCCAGATGGTCCGCAGAAGATAGTATGTGTAGACTGGAAGGATTCAAGTGAAATTTTTACTACGCATAAGGAAGCAAGAGTAATGGATGCCCCCGGCCCCCGGTGCCCTTGCACAGCCAGGATTAGTTTGTTTCAACATATTTTAGAGCAAAAAAATTCAATTAATCAAACTTTTCCTATGAAAAAAATTATAAGCAAGACCATGGGGTAAGAGTGGGGAAACCCAGAAAAACAAAAAAGAAAGTTTAAGAAAAGCGAGGGAACTATACTGCGCACCAGAAGATGTCTGCGGGTAAGCTGTTGTTTCATGAGACAGGATCGTGATCGGGAGGCAGCTTGGCCTGGTGCCAGATTTTCCAAAGTCTGTTTGTGGGAGAGTAGTTTTATATGGTTCTAGAAGGAAGGCAAAAAAAGTCCCAATACCAAACACGTTCAGGAGAAGTAGGCTTAAACCAAGTTTCTTGACTGCCAAATCCTCCAAGCCTTCAATACATTAATGTGCATTATGAAGCTCTAAGAAAGAGCTGTGTGACCACTATCTCCCAAATAGTCTAGCAGAACATCATGAACATCTATTGTTCTTAACTACCTAATGCTGGTCAATGGAGTTTGCGGTTTAGAAGTCAGACAAGTCACAGTCTAAATTCTTCTCAGCTAGTCATTAATTCTTCTGAACCTCAGTTTTCTCATTAAAAAAAAAAACAAAACAGGGATACTAATGTATACCTTACATACTTGTACTAAGGACTAGTGAGAGCTCAGTACTAAAAAAAGCCCACTTGAACAAAGAGCAGTTCTTAGCTGGCAAGCTAGAAGGGGCCATGCCAGGGAGGGTACTTACTGTGGTAGATGTGAAACATTGAAACAAAATTTCTGTAGTGTTCAAATTTTTTCCTTCAGAATGTGTTCTTAGGGACCTATCAGAGACTAAACCCCTTCGGTGGCCATAGGCTCTGGGGTAATTGTAGATTCACAAGGAAATAGGCTCTTTTCCCCTGAGAGCACTAAGGTCTGAAAGAATGCTGTACTGGTAATTATAATAATAGCTCAAATCATGACTATTTATTAAGGGGCTACCATTTATCTAGTATAGTGGGTGCTTTATGTTTTATTATTCCAGTAGCTATTCACAGCAAACTTTCAGCCTCCCCATATTACAGATGAAGAAACTGAGATTCTGAAATTCAGTATTGTATACCATGACACAGCTGATTAGTGCAGAACTAAAAACCCGTTCAATTTAATCATCAAAGAATAAAAATGCCTGCCCACTAAAAAGTTAGCCATGCCTTAGTTACTGGATCCAGTCTTATCAAGCTATGTAAGCACAAAATCACTAAAGAAAATTGTTGAACATTGGAAAGAATTGTTTCCCTTTCTTAGAGATAGATGGAAACTTTGTGGTCCTCTAAGATAACAAAAGGCCATAGGAGCTAAAGGAAGATTTCTGAACATGAAGTTGTTTAATTGGGCTCTGGGAATTTCCCACGAAGGGCCTAGAAGGGTATCTCGAAACATCCCTTCCCACATTTTCTAGCTCTCACCCAAGTGGCCACAGAGTTTTTCTAAACATTGAGTTCATTTAAAGTATGTCAAACCCTTCAAATTATAGTCATCTGTACACCTTTTGAAGATGATGGCCACTAATTTGAAATCAGCATCTTTGAGGAGTCATTCTAAAAAATTCCAATAAACTCAAGGAGTGAACATTCTCCATCCCACTGCTACACAATGTAGGTTTATAATGGAGACTTCTGGTTGCCCCAAATACCTAAGAACAAACAAACACATTACCTGTTTCTTCTGCTTGGCAATGTAGATGTCTGTCCTCACCCCAGGTGTTTGAACAGAAATGAAAACAAGAAGAAATCTTCTCGAGGAGATGCAGAGGTCTGAAAGAAAAGAGGTATAATTCCAGGTCTCTCTGAGCACCCCCTACACACATACACGCATACTTACACACTCCAACACATCTCACATCTCTGCAGCTCCCTGAAGGGAGAACTCTTGCTTAAATAAATGAAGAAATATTCACACAGAAACAAAGCAATAACTGAAACTGCTCTGCCTTTTACCCTGCAGGATGAGCCGGGAGTCACTGATCAGGGAGAGGCTGGTCCGCTCTGATACTGCCCTGTTCCTGGCTAGGAGATAAAGGGAAGAGCACAGATAATGGGCTGTGGTCATATGACTGCCTCCCAGGGGACCAGGCTCTGTACTGGCAGCATCAGGCTGCTGTTTGCATAATTTGCATCAGTACAAACACAAAATGAATTTGGGTAAGTAAGGGCAGAGAAGCATTCAGTGGCAGACTCTTAAATCAATTGAAGACGATTTTCAGGAAATACTACGGTAACCTGAGTATAATTAAGAGAAGGAAGTGGGAAGTCCCCCTTGAGACTTGCAAAAAGGCATGGGCATAAGGGAGCAGCTGTTGGGTGCTGGGCTGTACATTTATTTATATGCCATTTTTATTCCTCCAGTTATTCATAATGAGCTGCTTGATGCAGAACCTACCTGTGAAAGGAAGATTCACTTCCCTTCATAACCAGAAAGGAAAGTTGATGTGTGATTTTGCTGAGTTTGTGAAGGAAGACACTGCCACTAAGTGCCAATGTCAGTAGTGGGTGCTACCAGCCACAGTTCTGCCATCTTTTGAGGCAATCTGGTCTTGTTCCCAGAGTCCCATGCAAACTGCAGCTGCACACATGAATTTTCCTACAATGCCTCAGTTTCTGAGCTTACTAGCCTCAGGCCTCTCAAGCTAGGATTTAAAGGACTCCACTCATAACCAATTTATAACTTCACCTGAGCTGCTCTTTAGCCAATTCCTTTCTGCAGTTGAGAGCCACAGGAGAGCCAGTAAAGTGGTTACCTAGCTTGCTATTTAATCTAATGGAGTCCCTTTAAAAATAACTGGCAAGGCAGTTCTGGGCATCAGAACTCCTATTAGCATATTAAATATTATCAGAGGGCCTCATTATGAGGCAATACAACCATACAGGTTTCCATGGCAAGGACTTTAGACCAGGAACTGAAGAAGCTGCCATACACATTGTAAATGATAGTATAATTATCCAGGCTCCCCCAAAATAGTGGACAATGTCTCCCTATGGCTGTATTCCAGCCAAATGCCTATCCAACCCTCAATGATTGACTGATAGCTATGTCCAGATATAGTTGTTCAAATGTCACCTCCTCTGTGTGAAGCTTTTCCTGAATCACCAAAGCGGAGTTAGTCATTCTGTCTTCTGGATCTCAAAGCTATGTGTGTGTCCAATTATAGAGTTGCTCAAAGTATGCTGCAATTTGTCTTTTTACAGTAAAATCTTAAAGGTGAAAGATTCATTTCATTCTTCTTGGTATCCCGAGTGCCAAATGCATAAGAGGTACTCACCAAATATTTCTTATATTGCAGAAAGAAAAGAAAGGAATATAAGAATTCGTGGTTTGGGTAATTACATCAATGGCCAGCCTCAGGCCCATAAATTGGATTGGCTGTGCCCTTTATGTGATTGTTATTTTGACTTTGCTTAAAATAAAGAATGTCACTTATTTTTCCACAGTATGAAGGATGCTAAAGTATTATTTTGAGCACCACAAAGCACCTAATGCCATGCTCCAAATGTGAAATGAATCAGCACTGATGTATGTGAATAAATCATAATAATGATAAAATATTGGGCACGTACCATGTTGTAGGTACTTGTTAATTTGACATGTGTTGTTCTGATTTAATCCCCACACCATCCTGTGGGGCATATACGATTATTACCCCTTTTTTACACATTAGGAACTATAGCCCAAAGTCAAATAGCAAATGAGTGAGTGTTGGAATGTGAGCCTGGGCACTGTGACTCCAGAGTCTGATTATAAGTGTACACAGTGACATGGGGAAGCTTTAGCCAGCACCTTACGTGTTTGCAAAATGAAGGTTCTAGCCTCTTCTCAGACGTTCCCTGGCCAGCTGGGCAAGGAAGAGTTCTCCCAGTCTAAAAAGGAAAAAAATAACAGGCAAAGTACTGTTAACAGTTCTAAACTCACTCATTAACAGATTTAAGGTGGGACAACTTCTCAACTGGCACATCATCATATGAAAACAGCCAGCAGGAAAGATGAGAGTTCAGTTCTCCTCTGGGAAAGGCCTAATCTTCCTTACTCGGATGCCTTGTACTCTTCCATTAAATTCAACACTTTAGTGTGCACCCCCATGTGACAGGCATTGTGCTGAGGAACAGGCACATAAATGGTGAACAAAAGGGACATGAATGAAGTGGGGTTACCACATAAATACAAAATTAAAATTACAAATTAAAATCTGTCTCCCCTATTGGAATATAATATCCAGGTATCTAAAACAGTGCCAGTAATATCCAGGTATCTAAAACAGTGCCAGATATTACACGATAAATGAAAGCTGCACAGTATAATAAAAAGGCTAAGCAATAGGCACAGTGAATGCCCTATCCCAGAAAGAAGGATAAGGGAAAGCTTTCTAAAAAAAGTGATGCTCAGGTTAGATGTGATGGTTGAACAGCTGTAAGTTAGGAATTAACTGGAAGAAAAGAGACCAGGGAGAGAAGAGGGTGCTCTTGTAGACATGTGTATTTTACAATACTTAACAAGGACACAAAATGGCAGAAGTGAAATTAAAATTAGAATGAACTCAGTTAAGGGCCTCCCCAGTGGCACAGCGGTTGAGCGCTGGGTTCGATCCCCGGCCACTGGGCGAGGGTCCCACATGGCGCGCAGACCTCTCCTGCCGCCTGCTGCTCCCCTCAGCAGTGTATTTCGTCAGTCTGCCTGTTCTGCTCTCTGCTCTGGCTCTGGTGAATTCTCTCACCTTCCCGCGCTTCTGACTGTACCCAGTGCTTGTATAAATAAATAAATAAATCTTTAAAACAAACAAAAAAAGAATGAAGTCAGTTCATAGTTATAATACTGCAGCTGGACTTATGAGTGAGTGGAGAAGCTCAGACAGGACTGGTCTCTCAGTCAGCCAATGGTAAGTTGCCATGTTGGAAAGGCCCACATGGCAAAGAACTGAGGGACATCTCTGGCCAGACCATGGAATACTAGTACTTAGCAATAAAAGGAACAAACTACTGATATGTACAACCTGGATGTATCCAGCGACATCATGCTGAGTGAAAGAAGCCACGCTGAAAAGGTTACATACAAGTACGTGCCTTCCATGAAAGACAAAGCTGCAGTAACAGAGAAGTGATCAGTGGCTGCTAGGGTTTATAGGTGGGGGATGGCATGACTAAAGAGAGACAGAAGAGGGAGTTTGGGAGGAGTGATGTTCTGTACCCGGGTTATCCTGTATCTGTACGCTGATAGTCTATGCTAGTGACGGTTACACTAATCTATCCATGTGTCAACATTCACAGAATTGTACCAAAAAAAAAACCTGCTTTTACTGTACACTAAGTTGAAAATAAATTTTTTAAAAAGCTTCACAGAGAACTGGGCCTGGTTTGCCTTTGGGTGTGCAGAGAGTAACAACCCTGTGGGCTGACTTTGATGGCCAAAGGCCTTCATAAGTCACAGCCAGAAGCAATGTCGTATGCTATAAATTGTGAGCACTAAGGAAAACACTTGCTCTTCCCTCTGACTTACTTTTAGCTCCTATCCATGGGGAAAACTCAAAAACCAGAGATCCCCAGCAAAATAGGAATGTCATCCATTCTTTACTCAATAGATACCTACTGAGCATGTTCCAGCTACAAGGCAGGGATGCAAAGATGAATATATTCTCATTCACTTCCCTATCAAGTTCACAGCATAATAAGGAACACAGGCCTGACCACAAATAATTTAAGAGAGGAAATGTACGTATAGAGATATGTCCAGAAGGAAACACACTCTGCCAAGGCAAGTCAGGAAATGTTTCATAGAGCATAAAGGTGGGAAAGGCATTCTGGGAAGCACAGGAGTAGGTTATATTTGAGTCGTGTTTCCAGAGTCAGAGGGATAGAGGGTGTAGAAAATGGAGGAGGAGGATGTGAGCCTGGAAGGTAGGTTGGTGCCAACTATAATCATGCTTATAAATCATAACTTAGAATACAGACTTTAACCTGTCCATCAGGGATTTTAATCTCAAATACTTACATGGGCTGGGCATATGATATAAATGAATAAAGCAGTGGGTGAGGACGATGGGATGTACTAGAGAGTCTTTGTCTAAGGAGTCAGCTGCTAATTTGGTAGCTGCCTCTTAAGCTCCCATCTAGATACCTTGGCCTAGTATTGCCCAGTGTGATTTTTCAAGAGAAGTTGAACATATTTTTATGTAAAACCTCCCTATTTTTAAATGTCAACACGAGCATATTTCTACAAATTTAAGAGGCCATTGATTACATGGTGCATTATTTTATATACCAATAAGAAAGGAAAAAGCCACCCATCAAACTATGACACTCTATTTTAAGACACATTCCAATTTGAGAGGCACTAAAATGTGAAAAAAAAAAAAAGTGCATGAAATACAATAATTCTCATTTTCTCAAAACACTACATAGACTCCATGGATTCAGTGTGAGACTGCCAGATTGCAAACTCTGTTTAAGTAAAGGGGAGCTTGAGGGTGATTTGATCATATTCAAGCTATACAAAGACCACGCTGAGGGTCAGAGGATGAACAAGCCACCACAGGAAGACCAATGAGGAAGCTCCTATAACAATCCAAGACTCAGATGATAGGGGCTGAATGAAATCTTTGCCAGTGGGGATGGACAAAAAGGATCAAATGTGAAAGCTTTTTAGGTAATAAACCCCACTGGACCCAGACTGGATATGGGGGATGTATGAGAGAGTCATCGAGAATGATTCCACATTTGGAATAATAGACTTGTCAATTCTTCAACAATACAGCAATGGCCCACATGATGACAATTCAGTCAAAGGCAGACTGCATATCTGATGGTGGTCCCCAAATTCCTATTGCCTAGTGATGCCCTGGAAGTCCTAACGTCACAGTGTTCTGCACTGCAGCAGTCTCATACATCTTGTGGTCACCTGTCTCTAGATGATATCATTTTCCTGCAGTTTGATTTCACCTCACATAGTTTTGCTCACTATGACCCAGAAGCACACAAAACCCACCATTAATATCATGTTCCCAAATAACACATTCCTCAGGCAATAGCCTTATCATGAAGTAACTCATGACCATAATTGCTGAGTGTCTACCATGTGCCAGGCACTACTCTGGGCACTGGGGGGTACAATGATGGACAAGACAGACATGGTCCCTGTCCTCAAGCAATTTAGTCTAGAGGATGATGACATTAATTGCAGTAGAGTATTAATGGGTACAGGGTTAGGACATGAAGGAATACAAATCTGTTTATGGTGTAGAAAAATATCTGAGTGCCTATGAAATGTCCCTTAGGCAGTAGAAGTCCAGGACATAAATCCAGTCTGCAGATTCTGAAGAGAGAGGTCATCAGGTTACCTATAATAGCTGAAATGATTTCCAGGGGATGAGAAAGAAGAAGGAGAAACCAAAGAAAACTTAAAAAGGAGCAATGGAGAAAGAGAGAGGCCTAGGAGAGGCCTCAGGGAGCCCCCTATTACCATACAATTCAATACACTTTTATGTATGATAACTACAGAGAAGTCATTTACCTTGGCAATGTACCAAATCTGAAAAGTCAGATTTTCAGAGTTATAGATGTTTCACATAAATTCCAAATAGGCTATCAGAATTGCTTCTTATTTAGAGAATTGTGATATTTTTAAATATTGCCACAATCTGTTCCTTCAGCTTGTATGCGCTCGGGTTTTATACGTATCTCAGTTTGACATCTAGCATGAGTCAATGGCAGAGCAATGGTACTTCCTTACTACTTGTTTTCCTTTTGCAGGCGCTATAATGTGCCATTCTAAGACTAAAGAAGACAAAGACTATCCATTTATACAACTCCCTCTCATATCAAGGCACTGGCAATTGGCACTAATCTAGGGACAGACTATAGAGTCCCTTACAAGACCATCATGACATGACGGTGCCTTGGCCCACAACTCTGTAGCCAGAGAACCTGTGATGTGATAAGATATTGTGGTCCTTTGCACTTGTTCAAAAAGGCCCTTCATTTTATTTTATTTATTTATTTTTTAAAGATTTATTTTTATTTATTTATACAAGCACTGGGTACGGTCAGAAGCGCGGGAGGGAGAGAGAATTCACCAGAGCCAGAGCGGGGAGCAGAGCAGGCAGAAGGACCAAAGCACACTGCTGAGGGGAGCAGCGGGCGGCAGGAGGGGTTTGCGTGCCATGTGGGACCCTCCTCCGGTGGCCGGGGAGCAGCCGGGGATCGAACCGGCACTACAGAGGCTGCAGGCAGCTTCGCAACCCAGTGCTCAACTGCTGCGCCACTGGGGAGGCCCAAGGCTCTTCATTTTATAGGAGAAGAAACCAGGCCCAGAGAGGTGAATGGCTTCTCCAAAATCATAGTCTCGTGACATGGTGCCCAGCACTCTTCCCATTACATAATGGTAACCCAATTCCACCCCACAAAGACAGCTCTAATTTAGTAAATTTTAAAGTATGATAAATACCATATAGAAAACAAAAAGTCCACAAGAGGTGTCCAAACAACTAAACAGAGAAAGATCATTAAGTTTCAATCATATGGCTCTATGCCTACCCAGATACCATTCACTGCATCTACTCCATTAAGAGCTCTGACTACCCTTCCCTCTTAAGTTTTATTAGTTCCTCACCAATGAACGGATAATAAACTCCTAGATCTTCACTTTGTTGGTTGTTGAATGTTTTAGCCTGACCTGCAGGCTCAGGATACCATCCATCCTCAGGTTTACAGATCTTATTTGAAGAGGCTGCCTCAGCCTCTTCTGGGATTTTCCACAGGGAGATTCTAGAATGATTCTTCAATAGGTTACCTTGGCAACCCCACAATGCTGGATGGAGATCTGACAGTACCTACCAACAGCATGTGAATATAACCTGGATGAGAGAACCACT